TTTTTTCAAACTGTCATTTTTTATTAAATTATTGTTTAAACCTTTATTTACCATTTGGTCGTCACTGAGCATCTAACACCCATGTATCGTTCTTGACATATGGCCTTGTTTTATTGAAATGATTAAATCTCACCAAAGGAACATTATGTACCTAGGATGAGAGCAATTTGGCTAGTGTTCAAGAAGAAGTTGTTTGGAAAAAAGGTGACGTGAGACAACGGGCAATCATCTATACCAACCGTCCTGCCTGTCATCTTTAACAGTGGAGCTAAAAAGCAGTACCATATTTTATACATGCATCTCAAAACTAGGTGAAAGGAAAAAATAATTTGCACTGTATTGCTACCCTTTTTAATGATTTACTAGAACAAGTGGTTTCATGTTTTAAATAGCTCCATGGTTGTTGTAACAACATGTTTGTGTTACACAAGTGTCCATAAAAACCCTAATGTCTGAAAATAACAAATTAATAACGCAAAATGAATCAGAAATGACTAAAATACCATCCCAAAAACTAAAGACCAACACTAAAAGAGCTATGGACCCCCAGCTAGTATCAAAGTAATTGAGCTGGTAGTTTTCAAGTAGAAGTGGAAAATAGCCTTTTTCAACAAATATCACAAAAATATTGAAGTTATCGCCACAATATGAACTAGTCTGACAGAGGTCAATTCAATACATGTGCACTATCGATATCAGCTGTGTAGACCAAAGCATTTTAATAATTTTTGGTAGCTAATTTGTATAATTGTGGGCAGCCTGTTGAGTTAAAAACCTAAACCTTGCTTGTTCATGTTTTGTATTGATTATAAGAGTTTAAAATACAAGCATGCCATCCCTTGTAAAAAGATTGATTTTCTAAATATAGAGAGAAGTATATTCATGGGTGCCATGCCTATGTTACCCAACACTTCAATACTAATTCCAAATACTGTACAACACTTTATTTTAGCAGGAAATAATTTTCCCTGAAAAGATTTTTTTTTTTTTTTGTATGGAATTAATTTTCACAGATTTTTGACAAGTTGAATGCAAAATTGAATGCAAAATATAAAAAAAAAAGTATATATTCCTGGATTTTATTTTCACTGAATCATTCCTTCAGCGAAAATAGTGAAAATTACTTCAAAGCAAAAATAAAGTATTTTACACAGTATGGTTTTGAAACCTACATAAATTGCTACAATATCAAAATGGAATAACGATATATACTCACTCATCTCTGTCAGTCCATACAAGCTATGTACATCATAATGTTTTGACTTGTACTGATCTGATGAAGCACACAGTGTGAAAGCTTTTATTATGCCCTCAAATATGCCTATTAAAAATAAGTAAATCAGCATTATGTTATGAGGTTATGACAGGAATACAGCAAAGTATGAACAAATTAAGGCAGTACGGTTATCGTATCAACCGATGTGCAGTGGAGGTTGATGCATCAAGCTACTGCCCAAGTGCAAATTTTGCATTATTCCTGAGATAAGAGGGCTGAAAAGGCAATGAATTACGTTTCGCACTGATTATAAGCACTTCAATACTGTAAAATGACTAATTTTCACTAGGTTTAAATTTTGCTAATTTATCATTTCAGGCATATTCAGTGGGTTTTAAATTCACAGTTATATAATTTAGATAATGTGTTCCATACTAAATATTACATATTCTCTGGGTTTTAATTTAGCGCATTTTCCAGTCAGCGAAATAAGCAAATTCAAAACCCAGTGAATAATTAACCCCTTTACAGTAACGTCTAAAATAAACAAAGGAAAACATTTCTAAATAAGGGAGGGATTCAAATGCATCTATAACACTTTCCAACACTGCATTTTGCAAAATAATGCAGCAGTGAAAATTTACTCTGGTGTCCTACAACACAGGTTGTCAGTGACTTTCACGGAATTATTTCTTTACAAATCATGAAATCATGATAATTTCTAGTAGTGAAAATATAAACAGTTCACGGTACCTACCTGGTGTATATGGTGGATAATCGTACTTAGATTGAGGACAACCAATCAATGATCCATTGCCAAACTGAAGTGGTTCATTCATATCCTACAACGACAATTATGATATTATTAGAGTTTTTAGAATTGAATGGAAAGATAAATAAGCAATTAAATAAGCAGATAAATAAGCAATTGTTATTAAGAAAGGTATGAGAAAATGAAATGTGTTGAAGATATTCTGCTCCATTAATCACAAGAAATCCTCAGTCTCAAAAGAGCACCTCAATGTAAACAAAAGTACATGGTTTGTGAAAAAAATGGTTAGGTGACAGATCACAAACAATGAATGTCATTGTTGACTTTTTTATGCACAACTTTGCACCCCTTGTGCAAGTGATAATGGTACATCTAGTATGTCGATATCCTAACAGGGGATAAACGAGTTAAAAATATATCTGTGATTCAAACATTCTCATTTAATGCATAGCAACCAATATCCAACATCAGAAAGTTTAGATATATGTGAATTTATACATATACAATGTTTGTCTAAAAGATATACCTGCATGATAGCAAATTTGACCATTGTACTTTTGTTACTATCCCTACTACTGAAAACACTGTTTTACACTTTCTTGCTGTATTTTGTCTCATTAGAAAATACTAGCAGTGTATTGTAAAAATATGTATAACTCACAATCCAGAGTCCATCAAAATGTACTTTTTTTATACCATTCTGAAATCATCTGGTACCACCATTCACTAGTTCTAGGATTTATAAAGTCTGGAAACACGGTAACATTGGTCCAAACCTGAAAACAAAAATAATTGAAATGTGCGTCATGTCAACATATTCTCACAAATACAATTCTACACAAATACAAAACATAATGTAAATAAAATTTCTTCGCATAGAATACATACCTTCCCTTCTATGTATTTTCCATCCAGTTTAATAAAGATGTCCATTTTTTTACCAAGATCGAATGGTTCATATGTACCAGGGGCACTGTCAGCGGCAATACCAGGATCCTTTCAATCAAAACAAACAAAACAATAAGCTCTGAACTTTAGTATTACCAATGTCAAGATCAAAAGCTCTTGAATTGTGTAGGAAGTGTTATTTGGAATTCCTATTCCAGAGACTGAGCGAATTGAGGGTACACTTCTTAGTTTGTATGCTCGTGGCTTGGTGAATAATATGTAGAAATTTTTGGTTTGAGTCAAACATGTTTTAGTTAAGTCTAAATGTAACCAGCTTCCAAAAGTTGATTTGAATATATGATGCATTGTCCAATCAAAATTACAATGACATAATAATCTACTGGAATCCCAAATTATTTTGATAAATCAAAACTATTCGTATGACCATTTAGTGTAGAGCCTGATCAGTATATGAATTACATTTCCTATGACATTTTACACTTATACACATGCATGGGTTAAAAAATACTGAATCCCTAACTTACCATGATATGTATATAGTGTTGGCCATTGTTATGAAGTTCATCAATGAATTTTGGTAAATCCCCAAATACTTTCTTATTTAAAGTGCAATCTGTGTAGGCTACAGCGCAGTCAATGTCATTCCACTGTACATCCTAGTTCAGAGAAGTAAATTTAAATATTCATGAGAATTATCTTTAAACATAAACAAATAATAAACATTTTTAAGGTTGATGAGAAGTACAAAAATTATTAGAAAAATTATGACAC